GCAAAGAGATTAAACAACCTGTCTAAGTCACATGACTGGAGAATCGCAAATCAAAGTCTGAAACTTAGATCTCCAGAATCATGAATTAATGCCAGAACCACTGTGCTGTTCAAGGATTGGGTATGGGGTAGCTGCTGAGAAGGTAAACTGTGAATTAAATATGGTCTGTGAGGAGGTTATAGTCTAATGGAGAAAACAGATGCACTGAGATACAAGTAACTTAAACAATGGGGTGGGAGGGAACTGTTATGTGTGTTCCTACACAGCATTATGAAATCCCAGAGTATGAATACCTGAATTTTTTAATGGTAAGGGTCTGCGATGTCTTCACAGAGCTTATCTTTGAATTGGACTTAAAACATGATTAGACTTGTCAGGCGAAGAGAATGGAGTTTGGGGTTTGGGGTTTGGGGGACAGGCATTGCTGGTACAGAGAAAAGCATATGCAAAGATATTGGCAGTTTATACAAACGTAACCTGCTCTGAAACAGAGATCATTTGTCGTTAGTGCAACAGGTGCTTGGCTTCAGGCGTGAGAGATATGATTGAAAGATATATTGGCATCGGGGAAGAACCTTTAACATTAGCTGAATTCATTTCCTCTGATTTTGTAGGCAAAGTATATTCATGAGAGAGTTTTAAGCATGGCAGTGATAAAATAAAATTTGTGCTTTTTTGTTATATGACACTGGTAGTAAGTAGAGGATGGATTGGAGTGAGAATAAACAGAAACAGAGAAACTAACTACAAATCTAAGAAAAAGATCTCGGGAAAGAGAGGATGAAAGACTCAGCTAGGCCAGTGAGTCTGGAGTTAAAGAAAAGGGATGGTATAAGAAAAAATGTTAAGGGTAGAATATTCAGCAATTGGATGAAAGTGGTGACGAGCAGGAAGGATCCAAGAAGACCCTGCGGTTTCTAGATTTGGGATGACAGCGGATGTAACTTACTGAGACAAGGAACACCAGAGGAGGAGCAGGTATGTAAGTAAGATGATGGGCTTGGGTTTAGATCAGTTGAATTTGAGGTGTTGACGGAAAACCTAGGTGGGGTTTTGTAGCAATTAATTAGTCATTTCAGAGTGGGACTTAGGAAATACAGTGCACTAGACATCTGAAATGGGAACCCATTCGATTCTAAGTGACTTTCCCAGTATGAAAACCCAGGCAGGTGGCACTGAAGCTTGGAGGAGCAACGATGTTTAAGGGGCAGGTGCATGAAGAAAACGCAGACAAAAAGAAGGAGAAAGAATGGCGAGAGGTAGAAAGAGAACCAGGAAAATGTCATGTCATGGGAACCCGGGGGTGGGGGAAAACTCACAAGAACTGAAGGCTTCTCAAATTGACATAGATCTGAAGTAATCCAGAATTCAGGCTGAGGGACCAGGTAGAGGGACTAAGCTGGTCTAGTCACTGTCCTGAAAGCAAATGTCTAGCATTTGTTGTGTGCCTAACAGTACTTAGACATCAGATATATTGGAGCAAATGAGGCAAAATTTCCACTTTCTGACACTCCACCATTCCTGTCATTCTCTCTATCGTATCAAGTCTCATTGAGCCATTTAAGGCCCAAATTGCATCTCACCTTTGCCGTAAGCACTCCATAAGCATCCTAGCCTTATTGACAGCTCCTTTCTCTAGAAATTACCTGTGATTTTTGGCTGACATTGCTCTTATTTAGCGTTTTAATTCTTATTGCATTTGCTCATGTCATCTTATCATAAAAGTTGCAAATTCTTTAAGGAGAAGAGATTACAGTCTAGATTTTTCCTTCACAATTTGCTCCATACGTGTTAAGTGTTTAGGAATACTTTTTTTTTTTTAAGGAATACTTCTTGATGGTCTCCTCCCAAAAAGGGGACAGCTAGATTTGTTCCTTTGAGCAAGGATTGCTGTGTCTTTCAACAGAGACCCCTCAGGATTGCTTAGTCCAGTTGGGGTAGATGGGCTTTAGAACTGATCTCTATGATAGCTTTCCTTAATTGATTAATTCAGCAATTATTTACAGAGTGCCTGATATGACTTACAAGGTACTACGCTATGGCAGTGAGCAAAATAGATCCGGTCTCTACTTTCTAATAGCTACATGATTAAAAAGAAATAATTTGAGATGGCGATGTATGTCATAATGGCACTGTGACAAGGCGAAGTAATAGAGCACAACCAGGGAATGAAAGAAGACAGTGAGTGGTTAGAGAGTAGTTTTCTGAGGTGGTGACTTTTAGATGAGCTGCAGGACAAAGCACTAGCCATGAGAAAAAGAAAGAGCACTTTAGGCAGAAAGGAAAGCAAGGACAGAGAGCCTGAAATGTTTCTAAGTTCCGGAAAACAGAAAGGACATCCTTTACTCA